TGTTTATGCAGTGTTACAGGGCTAATCTGGATTCATCTCAGCTCCATAGCTTTGGAATGTAGTCATATGTTATACCATAATCAACCGTGCGTTTACTCAATGAGTCGTTCATTAGAATGTCAGTGCAAATGTTATAAATTCCTGTAAATGCTTTGAATTAAACGATTTATTTTTTTTAAAAGTAACAATATGTTCTTGAAATGCAGCAAATGCAACAGCCGTCATCTTTCTTGTAATGGTCACGGTACAGGAAACAAATGGAGCAGATACTGCGGTTCACAAACGTAGCAGGCAAAGTGGACGACAAGGACAGAAACCAAACACAGAAAGTATGGTCACCTTTTAGCTTACTGTGATCTGTAAACCTTGCATTTAATACTGCAGGAACAAAACTATTCTATACAGCCACCCACCTTTAAGAGACATTAAATGTTTCCACTGGCACTGCAACAGCAACTCTGGAGGCTGCTCTCTTTTTTAGCATTAGCTGTTTGACCAGACACTCACTATCTGATGTCAGATTTATTAGTGTGTGTTATAACTTTACAGCCAAGGTGAAATAGCTCACTTCCACAAAGGTATAAGGATAATGTGAAGTAATAGTACAGTATGTCTAAAAACGTACTCATTCAGCTCTTCAGTTCAAACACTCTCACTTCCACAGCACTCACTGCCTCACAGTACTGAAAAGTTTAAATTGGTACTGCCACTAGTACTGTACTTCTACTGCACTGCTGCTGTCACTGTTACTGCTCTTACTGCTGCAACGGCTCCTGTCACTACTGTCACCCTTACTGAGACTATTCAGGTTCGCTTTATTACACGTGTAAACATGGACATTTCTAGTTTCATTTGATGAATGTGTCGAGTCCAAAAGAGCTCATCGTTTTTGTCTTGGATTTAGAATAATAATCTTAGTCTTTTTTTTTTCACCTTGTAGAAGAATAAGGATAGTCTCACAAGAGTTACTACAAGTTTCCAGATTTTCAATTTGAGCTAATAACAACTGAATCAAATTACACTTTACAGAATGGGATCAAAACATAAAAGGGCACCACTATTAAATCACTGCCTTGTGAATTGTGAATAAAAGTTAAATTGCTGGAAAACCAACAATTCACATAGCTAATATACTCCTGTCAGCCCTTGTTTTTAGGATGAGGTTATTTGGGTCAGATGTGTTTGTTGCCGGTTTAGTTAAAGAGCTGCCCAGCCTTCTGCCCCCTGACCGTCTCCTGCAAGCCTTCTCTTTTTAAGTGGCCGTGGACTGTTCCAGTGCATTCCACAGTGAAATAGACTTTTGCGCTTTTCTTCATTGTCACAAAAGGCCAGGCACTTCGCTGGAGTTCCCATTCCCCTTTTACATAGTGATAAGACAGCCATTATCCTTTGAACCTTTCTTTTCACTGAGCCAGGAGAAAAGGAAGAGTGAAAGAGAAGGAGGAGGAGGACAGAGAAAGATTTCTTCCCTGAGGTGAGCCTGGCCTCACCTCTATGTGGCGGGCTTTTTTGTGAGCAGTGAAGAGGTCCTTAACCTTCTATCAGATGGAGGCACACAGTTGTGTTCTGCTTGAATAACTACATTGAAAAGCCCTGAAGCACAGGAGATGGTTCTATAGACTCTGCAAGTGGCAAAGAGAGAGCGAGATTGGGAGTGAAGAGAGAGAGAGAGAGGGGAGACTGTATTGTATGACCTGCTGGAGTGTGACCCTCACATGATGTGCACATTCTTTGTTAAAGTGCCCATCAGTGCTTCGCTGTGAATCTGTGTTGTATGGCTCTCACTGACAGGATGCTCCTCCTCTAATAATGTCACAACAACACAGTTCACACATTTATATAATACCCTTCCTTGAATAGACCGCACTTTATTTTACAAAGTAACAGTCTTTCTGCTTCCAGGCTGTAGATGGCTTTACAGCAGTATTACTATCACTAGCAGAGTACAAATATTTGAATGTCATGTTGCATGAAGGGCTTATAGTGGTTGATGGCGGATGATGCTATGGGCTGGATCCATAATTCAGACTAGTCAGATTTTCTATAGACACAAAAACTGTGTTCACATCCCAGGCTCTAATACCCAATTCCTTTTTCCTGTTGATGGTTCAGATGTGTCCAGCTCTAATGTCTACAGCACTGAGGTCCTAAACTGCCAAACGTGGGCAGATTTAACAGAAATGTGACATACATACATACAAGAATAGCAACAACGTCATTTGTGTGATGGTCAAATCATGCAGTTCCTCAAAAATGGCTTGGTTACAATGTGTTCCTTCAAGTCTGGCTTGATCAGAAGCTTCTCCAAAAATGTCCAACAAATTTGAAACAGCCTCATCTCTCCACTGACCCTTGTCTACCAATCTGAGGGGTTGACACTGAATGATGACAACAGGCATTATGCACATGCACAGATGAGTGATACATTTAAAAACCACCGGAATTGTGATCTGACCATTCTGACATTGCTCACATAGTCAGAGATCAGATTCACATCTGTACATGTATGTGGTGCAGATGTGACATGAAAACAATCTGGTTTGTTTGCACATTGGTGAAAGGTTTCGGTTTGAGTCACTTGGAGGGAAAAAACTGGATTTGAAACACTTCAGCAGGTAATGTTAATGTAACCAAGCTCACTTGTTAATTTTCATTGTTTAACTGACAGCAGACAAGAAACTGATTATAGTTACAACCACAATAAAGCAGACCTAGTACATACAAGTAGCAAACTCATAAATGGTATTACAGTATGTTGTGTCCATTGTTTTTGGTGGTCATTTGACATTTTGATGAGTTGTGAGAGTAGACGACAATGAAGGCCATCCATGCATTTCTTTGAGTCTTGTAGAAAACAGAAAATTCTCTGCTGGCCATTTTGCCTGCACTTCTACTTATGCATGCAGTAGTGACTGTTTTTGGTCTTTCAGTATTACTGATATTAGATGACAGAAGTCAAATGCTATAAATTTCTGTCTCCCATGTAAATTATCACAGGATGTCAGCTCCACTTGTCAAATTAAATGTTTACCATAGCTGGTAAACACACCATTCCATCTTCGCTCTGCAGTGGAGCTTTCACACTGTCAGACATGGAGACGTTATAAACGGTTTGTGGTGTTATGAGAATTCCAGAAAAAATGTTTTTTGAAAACAGTTTTCTCACATTTAATTCCAGGGCGGTGTAATTATCTGGCTAGGTATTAAATGTAACAATGAAGCCAGTGTACTGCAGAAAAACAATCCAGAGGTTTTCCTGTGTTCTTCAAACTGAGGCAATGAAATTGCAGTTCTCTGCACTACAAATTCCAGTTATCTCACTTCCTGTCACTTTAATGTGGTTTTCATTAGATCACCTGGCATGAGACAGAGGTTAGGTTATGTGACATTATAGATGTTTATAAAACTGTGGCTGCAGGTGATATTGCTTGGCAGCTTTTATACGTTTTCCCTCCGTACAGTCATCAGATGACACATTTTTCAAAGGAACAGCTTCATTATTTTTGTTACATTTTTTGTGTTCGTCTGTTATGTCAACACCGAAAACTGTTCAGCAGCAATTCATGACTTTGTAAATGGCTGTACAAGAGCAGCACCACAGATGTATCTCTGCTGAAGTTATACTCACGCTTAACAATTAACTTCTTTTCCGCCTTCAGATCTTTACTGTTAAACTTCTCACAGACGGTGTGCCTTCATTTTTTCCTTCTAGCATTAGTAAGAGATGCTTCACTTAAACCAGAAAACATAATTTGTCCATTGTTTTGCGACTCGGTCTACCTCACTGTCCACCTTTAGGCTCGGATTCCCCGCCCTCCTCAGCTGCTGAGCCGCAGTGGAGTGACAGTATTCTGTGCTCACATAATAGCAGGTGACTTACCTGTGTTACATCTAGGTATACTGTGTATATAGGCTGCTTCAAATCCTGTTACCAGCTACATTTCTTAAAAATTTGGGGGATGTACAAATAATGTGCCTAAGTGTCACAGGTGGTCTGTGAGATGTGCAGTGAGTAACCAGGCCATGCAAGCTGTGCCAACGTCTTGTGTGCCAAATGTGTGGCAAGAGGGTGGCATGAACAGTGTGCCAACGCTAGTCTGCCTGGCTGCCAGGCACTTCTCTTTATCCAATCAGACATTTCGGCTTGAGTGAGACCCCTATTCTTGTCTCTTCCCATTTCCTCCTGAAGCTTTGTCACCCTCCCATGAAAAACCGATTTTCTCGCGCGTTGCCGCCACCCCCCCCCCCCCCCCCCCTGCACAGCATCAAGCCTCTTGGTACGTTGTTACACATACCTGGAGACCATAACCAGGGAGCAATTGGTGCAGAGTGTTCCCTCTTTGTTTCTGTCTGCAGCTGCCTCCGTCCTTTTTATTCACCTCTCAAGACACAGTCACAGGCTAAATGAGCACGCCTCACTCTGCTTTTAGAGTGTGTTTAGAGATCTGTTTTTTCCAAGATGCGTGAAGAAAAAACGCTGTCTGTCTGTGTGTGGCTTTATTGGACATGATGAGGGATGGTATTATAGTGGATGCTGCTGGCGCTGTGCTGCGGCTGTGAGATGAGGAAGGATCCCATTAGTGTTTTGTGCCCTACTGTCACTCTCCCCAAGACAGGACTCTGGTGTTCACCAAAATAAACACATTGTCCACAGTTCTCCTTTTTTAACTGTTTATCATTACTCTTCATTTTTTCTTCTACTGACACTTTTCACTCTTATCTTTGTCCTGTTTGATTCAGATCATGAGTGAGTGAGCTGAGCTTACTTAAAGTCCTACGTCGTAAAAATTTACAACCCAAACAGATAGGGAATGGTAACCTGCCAATAATCCTGTAGGCACACTGATTGGTTATGTCGGAGAGAGCTGCTAGAAAAAATATGTTTAAAGAAGCAAGAATATGTATTGTAAAAGTAATTACAGTGTGTAGATGAGATGTGATTCAACGGGGAGAAGATGCCATGAATTACTAACCTAATGTCAGTACTTCTTGTCTTCCAGGTTGATGATGCCATGCTTATGTTTGATAAGACTACTAACAGACATAGAGGTAAGTGCACAGATTCTGTTCTGATTTTTTGTCTTTTTAGCTCTGTCTTTCTGAAAGGTGAGAAAATAGTCATTTTATGTCCTTTCCCCATGAGATAACACAGAACAGTTCCATTTCACATGATATTAGCTGTGCCATCTGTTCAACAATGGGAGCGTGTCAAAATAATCAATAAGCTAGTATGGTGTTTAGAATGTTTGAGCATTAGATGGTGTGTTTGTGCGTGTGTGTGGTGATGATGCTGGTGTGAGTGCTTCAAAAAGGTGCTTAAAGGGTGTAAAGATTGCGAAATGGTGGGTGCTGTGCAGTCAGATAACAGCATCAGATAAGACCCAGGAGATGCACTGACTTTATCGCTTTCTCTCATCAGCTCCTTATCTTAGATGAGGGGACGTTTCACTCTCAAGCAGAGGACTTTCCAAAGACAGGTTTCCTCTCTGCGCCACAATGCAGTGTTGTGCATTGAGGCCAAACAGCACGCTCACAGGCCTGACTTAAAAACCAGTAAGCACATATAGGGCTGTCACTTAATGTGAGCCCATTGTGCGATGGTTATTATCGGCTAGGAATCCTTACACAAGTACGCTGAAGGAACTTTTAGGAGACAGACTGTCCCTGGCTGTGTATGTTTCTGTGTATCATTTTGTGCGTGAGCAGTCGACAGGCACTGACAGGTATTTCTCCAAGAAAAAGGAGCAGACATTTATGTGTTTGTCACACCAGTCAGCTCACTTGTAGGCAGAGCTGGCATCGCACCATCTCACTGAACTGGGCTGAGTGCTGTTTTGCCATATATATGTAAACATTTTTTTTGCAGCAAGTGATTCATCTCTTGACCTGTATAAATGTTTAGGTGCTGTTTCCATGGATTGGAAGCTGTGTGCTTTTTGTTTGTGCAAGCTCTCTCTTTCTATTTATTTGTGTATCGGTAAGTGTGTGTGCTCCGCCTGTGTGTGTACGCCACGCAGGCGAACTCTTTGAGTCTGGTAAACAGTTTCTAAGTGTGGAACATGTGAACTATAGTGGAAGTGATCTGTGGCTTTGAGGGGATTTTGATCTGTAGTGACACAACCCAGTGTGAGGCCTACTTTGAGAAGAAGGCTTTTTTATCTCATACTCTCTCTTATTTCTTGCTCTTCTCTCTCTCCTGTCTGCTGCACTGCCAGCCCTCTGTGAAAGGGGATGGGCGCCACGCTTGTGGAGTGTGTTAGGCATTTGCCTTTGGGCAGAAAAATGCCCTTCAAATGAAGACAGTGATGGAGAAACAGCCTCAGTGGCAATTTTTCTGATGACAGGGGACGTATTTATACAGGTATTGAGTGTGACACTGAGGCAGGTGCAGCTCCTCCTGCGGTTTCTGTTTTTTCCACCCACATCACTGCTAAATATATAATAGCTACTGTATGTTGGTCCACAGCATAAAACACACCAGTGTCACTGTAACACCTCCAAAACCGTGACATTGCAGTGTTTTCTGGATCAAAACTGTGATATGGCAACGTCTTTCTAGCAGCAAAGGTAAATGGTTAAGTTTAGGCACAGAAACTACATGGCTAAGGTTACAACATCAGACAATGTTGGAAATGAGGCTTAATCTCCAGCTGCATGATTGTTGTAACACTACTATGTTTTTTGCTGTGGACTGACATAGCTGTTGTACAATTCTATGTGAGACTGCTGGTTTTTTTTCCAGCTAGCATTTTGATATTTTGTTTCATATAGAATTTGAAACAGATATTTGAGAGCAGCTTTCATCTTGAAAACACAACTGGCCTTCCAGATGAATTGTACAGAATCCTACAGACCCATAAGACATTTTGAATAATTCATCAAATCCATTGGTGTGATTGTGTAATATTAATGGCTCAGCTGCCCCGTGACCACAAAGGACAAGACACTGAATAAATGATCAGTCAGACCTGTGCCTGAGCCCACTTTTACAGCTCCCTACTAATCCGGTGATGGGCATCTGGTGGTCCACCGTCCAAATCAGTTTCCCCTACACGTTCATTTTTATCTTACAGATTGAGTCATGAAAAAATTATTACCGGTTTTTCTGGAGCACGGCAATACATAGTTGTCAAAGTACATGTGTCAAAGTAATCAATAAGCACATTCTTTATTTAACAATTTAAATGTTAGCTGCTGCAGCTCTTCTAAAACTATGGTGCCTGCAAGTTCCTGAAATAAAAGATCACTTTGTTTCTCTAATTCGTTGCAAAGCACTTCAGGGAAGAGTGTATATCAAAGAACTAATGTTATTTTTTCCCCCATTTTTTCCTTGATAATCTGGAACGCTGTCATACCTGCAGCATAAACATACTGTATTTTACCAGAGTGGGGAGGGTAGCTTACATAGGTTATTGCATTACAACTGAATTATAAATCTACTCTGACCCAAAACTGTAAAGAACACATTTCTAGTCTAGTCATTCTAGTCCCTGCAGTCGTTATATTTATTTGAGAAGTGAAGTTATAAAAATAGTACTTCTACTATAAGCAAATGAAATACACTGCAGAGAAGAGACTACATACTTACACTACATTATGGAGGTGTGTGCACAGTGAAGACTTGTGTCTGTCGGATCACAGCAGTTAATGGTGATCCCTTGTTGTGCTTTCTATGACTGCACATCATTTCATTTGAATGTACTGTATCTCAGTGCCTTTTTTGCATAGAGCCTTTATTGTATATCACTATAGAAAGAAAGAAGTAATGCATTGTGTTTTATTTACAAGAGTTTATTGTGTATGAGATCCATGATCAATTCTTGATTGTATGTGTGTTTTCTTTGGGGCTGTGCTGAATTGGATAGAGGACAAACGTCACACTCCACTAGTAGCAGCATTGTCCTTCAGACGGTCCCTGCGAGGCTGGCGAAACGACAGCCAGAGGAGACGTTTTCTAGCCTTCTTATTTTCTCTGTACTCTTTACTCCCTATCTCTCCCAGTCACTCAGTCTTATTCTTTTTTCCATTTCTTTTACTCACTTGCACTATTTCTGTCCCCCACCATTCTCCCCATACTGCCTGTCTTTGCCGTCTCTTCATTTCTCTCTGTCTCTCCTGCTAGAGGACACTCGCTGTAAGCAAAGCTCCTTACAAAGGCACACGCTGCACACCATCTCCTTGGCATTTAAAAGAGTAGAATACAGCCAATTGTGTTGGAAATTGAACTCTCTAAAGCCTCCCTTCCCACTGCACGGTTCATTGTGGGTGAGTTCAGTGTCTTTGGTGAGCAGCTTGGGCTGTCCAGAGGTTGATGCCAGAGGGCGCCTATTGTTCCCTCTTCTGCTGCAGTTTCCCCAGCACCACGCCTCCCTTCAGCCTTCTTTTCTTCACCTGACACTCATTTTGTGACATAAAAGAGAAAATCAGGAATGTGTACATTTGTAATAGCATATTTCACAAGATTTTCTGTACTTATTCTTTTTATTCTTTTGTGTTTAATTCACCAGTGCAGGAGGTCCAGATTACACAGTGTGTGTGTGCTCCAAAATACAGGCTGTGTTCTGCAGCAAGCCCATGAGCACGGTAGTCACATACAGCACAGCACAGCAGTCACTACACATACCAGTCATCATTCCCAACACCCTCAATGTGATTTCACATGCCACCTTCAGATGACAGGATGAGCTACACAGGTGGGAAATAAAAGCTTTTGGAAGAGCCCTGAGTCAGAGTCATCCTCCTGTCCCGCAAGCTGACATATGATCTATAATCTAAAATGTGATTTTACTGTCAGACACTATTGTTAGTGCCAGGGAAAGTGTTGCTGTGGTGAGAAAAATGCCATCTCTTAGGGAAGGGTGTGGGGACTGTGAATAAAAGAGCGGCACAGTATTTTGCTAACAATCAAGGACAGCATTGGGGCAGAAAACACATTTCCACAATGTTGTAGCACATTATATATGTGGACATTTTCACTTTCACTATGAAATTACAGGATCTATGCCAGATGTGCTAAATGAATGCAAAACCCTATTATGGACAACTGCAGTGTACCCAGACAGAGCTTCACTCCTGACAGACTGTACTGATATAAGATTTAATGAGTGTTATTGGTCAACCACTGCATCATGAAAAGAGACTGTACATGTGCTTTTTCCCATTGAAACTGTAAGCATAACAACGTGAGTCATTTTCAGGGTTCAGTCTGCTCCTGTATCATGTATCAGACACAGAGCCTTAGTAATATCCACTGAACAGCCTTAAACACGCAGTACAAGTGTGAGCTTTCTTTCCTTAAAAGTGGAGTTTACTCATGTAATATCAGTGCAAAACGTCTGCGGCCTTGATGAAATCCAGAGTTCTGACCAGATCACTGGAGCTGACTGCTAATTCAGCATTTTGAGCTAACAGGCAGGTTTCCTTCTTGAGATGCTGAACATTTTCCGCTCATTAATTTTGCAGTTGATGCAGTTTTAGCCACAAAAACAACTCCTCCTAAAAGCTCTCATTCATTTTAGGTCATTTTCTACCCTATTCCTGATGACATGACCCTCCTTTCCCACCAGGTTACCACTCTCTTCATCAGCGCATATCTGTAGCGCAGTTTCACACACGTAAGCCACATGGGACCCCTTCAAAGGGAAATATATAGTTCACATATATACAGTACAGTTCCTTGGGTTTTATTATTCACAAGCAGCTTCTCAGCATCGCACCTACTCCCCATGAAAAAAGATGAGTATATACAATGCAAATTACTACATTGAATCCCAGTGGTAATTTACACTCTTACCATTTAAGTAGCTGATTAATTGGGTCAAAACTGCACACCACAGTGACTGTTTGATTCATGCACTGGAAAAATCTGTACTGCCACAGACAAGTGTCTGCCCTGCAGTTTTCAGCAAGTGTTTAAATTTCAACAAGGTTTTAGTTAATTTCTGTGAGTGAAAATATTGAAGATGGCACCTACATCTATTTTGGGTGATACACATGTTCTCCCTCACCTTTTTAATTACACCATTAAGAAAGATGATGAAATCCTAGTG